TCTCCTGGATAACTTCCATACTTCTATTCAACCTTGCAAGTTCTCCACGTTGAAGAGGAGATTCCAGTAAACGATTAAATCTGGCTTGAAGGTTGAATTGCTCATTCTGCAAAGCATTCAATTTTCCTTGAAAATCATCAAAATCGCGCTTCTGGCAATCCAAAGTGTGTTGAACCTGGTCGACTTTATTAGAAACATCACGGAACGCATCGGAAAGGTGGCGAATGCGTTGCCTAAGAAGAGGGATTTCCCTTTTGAGCAAATCGTGTTGAGCGACCCTATTCTCCAAGTCGTTTAACCTTTGTTCATTTTGATCAGCGACGGATTTACGGGAGGATGTGTTTCGGGAGTCGCTGTTTCCTAAAGTCACTTCTTTTGGTGTTGGAGCGATTTCCCCTTTAAATTCCAAGCTGTTTTCCCGAGAGTTCCTAATTTTACTTGCTTTACTACCAGACAGCAAAAAGGGAACCTGCTGTTGTAAAAGTTGGTTGACGTTTAACTGTTCTTTCTGTAGAAGCAATAAATTATTAAAAATCATTCACTCGGAACCTTGCAAATTATGCAGAGGATGTGGAAAGATGTGATCATGACTAATCATGGACCAAAGAAAAACAGTTTACTATTACATTCTTCATTATCTCAAACTGAAGTTCGTTTATCAGTTGATCTGGTAACTGTCTTAGTCTCGAACTCGGTTATATTTAGACTACGAGTAGTCCCTCTTTCGCTTAGTCCGTCTTCCGTGACGCGAAAGAAAACCGCGAGAAAAAAACGGGCCGCGCGAAATCCTGGGGGCGAGGATTTTTTTTCTCGCAGTTTTCTTTCGCGTCACGCACACCGGACTAAGCGAAAGAGGGACTACTCGTAGTCTTGGTTATATTGAGCTTCTCACTATTTCACGACGGACTAAGCGAAAGAGGGACTACAAGTTCTTTCCAGTATGCAGGAATACATCAAACTCTCCTTTTCTCGAAGAATTAAACATTTCCATACAGTACTCGAGAAAACACGATTACCCCATGGTAATATGTCCATGCGACATAATTTTTGGTTTACCTTTCAGGGGACACTTAAACAGGTACTTACAATAAGCATGTTTTATTTCTGAAATGAAGAACGATAACTCCGGTGATAGTTAAATTCAGTTATCTGCCGCTAATGCAAGCATTTAAGAAGGTGCTACGTTAGAGATCATGTAATATGGAATGTCCATACTGCATGCGGGCCCGAAAACGCCAGTGAATTGCAGGGGAGCAAGTGCAGCTTTGCAGCAAAAGAAAACCATTTGACTCCGTTGTCCCTTTTAAACTCCCTCTTTACTCTTTACAATTGTTTTTGTTTCCCTTAAATCTTCGAGGTAGCGCGAAAGGGCACGGAGATTGCCAAGAAGATACCGGTATTTGGCAACAATTACATGTTCAGTCAATCTGTCAGTTGTCACAAGATTACCGTGTAACTTAATGGAAACATATAATAACAAAGTTCACATCAAAGTACCTTCACTTGGGGAATTCCACCTTTACCAAGTTTCGTAAGCTTAGCTGGAGATGCCGGGCACTCTTCATTTTGGTGAAGCTGCAAGGTGTTATAAAAATATGGTTAGTTGACTGAGACAGTGATTGGTTGGTGGGCGTGATCCGGAGGAAAGTAGTATAAAGTGTATAATTAAAAAATATGCGATTTCCTGCCTCCGGTCACTGTTCTGGCTCAGTCACTTTTATTCNACTATTCACTGGTTTGGGTATGTGCTGATAGTCTACTGATTAACGCCCAGCGCCCAGCTCGAGGTTACTATCGAAGTCGATAAAAACCAATCTATCAATTAAAACGAATAACTGTTATTTCGGAAACTTCACGAAAACGCGAAGTTGAAGCAATTTTAAACGAAAGACTGATCAGCTCCCGGTGCCGTCTACTGATAGTCAGATCGCTACTGTATGGTAATAAGCCAATGGCGGTTAAGCCAATTAAAACGTTGGAAATGCACTATCTTAATGATCATCTTAAGTCAGCGATCATGTGCGCGTTGTTACAATTTTGCATATAAAAGCTGCCTTGCTTTTAATAGAAGTTGAAAAAAATCACCTTAAGTATAATTTTTGTTGAAGAGAATAAAGAGACTTTTAACCAAAACTATAAAATACACGGGCTTGCCCCTAGTTTTCTGTGAGCAATTATTCAACTCGCCTATATGCCACCTCCTCGTCAGTTGGCCATTCGCTCGTAAAAGACTTGAGCTTGTGGACAAACTTAATAAAAAGGCTAAACAAACAAGACGGAATTAATGCTTCATTTAGGCAACAAACGAAAAATAAGGAATAAAACAGATGAAAGGCGTTGTGCAATAAAACACAATGTATCACTACACCAACTTCAGGCATTGCGTTACTATCCAATTTTCTCCTTACCTCCAACTGACTACATCTTTCATATCCTTGAGCTTGTCCAATTTCTTTTCCCTGGCAGCTGCCAAAACTGCAATTCCCCACATGGCCCTACAACGCATGGTTTGCACACAATCACACAAGCACTACCCGTCTCATTCTGCAGACATAGCGTCTCTATAATTTCCTATTAAGTGATCTGCATAACTGTTCTTCTTTTCTTTTAACTGGCTGCCTGGCATTTTAACTCTTACGTTATTTCGGGTAGCCAGCACCCCTAGGGGAGACTGAACACTTAGTTGACCCAAAACAAAGACCGTCATTTATTTGGGAGGTGAATGCATATATCATTTTGTCCAGAGTAAGTGTAAGTGTGTGTGTGTGTGTAAGTGTGTACTGTATGTATATGAGTACAACCATATGATGCCATTGCTGTCACCAACCACTGACTAAAATGGCCAGTGGGCTCACTTTGAGAGGGAAGATATCGACTTGGGTGACGGGTTTTGCTAAGGATAAGGAAAATCAGAACAAGTGGGAAAGAACCTCTTTTCATTTTTGTACTTTATTTTCATTTTTGCACTTTACCTGTACTTTACTTATCATAACTTACTGGGGATGGCTATGTGGCCGGTTTCTTTTTCATCGATATTTATTAATCAAATCCTGTTGAGTTGTTGCATTTGCTAAAAGCACACTTCTGAAGGTCAGATCAGCATTTGAAAGCTTCTTAATTTACCCAAAGGACTGCAACTTAACTTAGCCATCGCACTGTAACTGATAGGTGTGCATTCTAAAATCGCTAACACATAACAATAATAATGCCAAAACATAAAGCAAATGATTGGTTNACTGCATTAACAGGGTTCATACTCTTTTAAGCTCGTCAAATTCCATGACTTTCCATGACCTTTTCCATGACCTTTTCCTTTTTTCCATGACCTTAAGTTTAACTGTCACTTTTGAAAATTCTCAAAACTATCCTTGTTTTAGGGTCAAATTTGCATTATTTTTTGCAATCTCTGGCCTTTGCCAAAATATGTGTAGTTCAAATTGCCCTGAGAGCATCTGCATGGGAGGCTATTGCTCAGTGACTCGCCTTTATTATAATTTTGTTCTTGTTTTGACATCTGCAGTGACAAACACACCAGGCTTAACTATTACTTTCCCTTACTTTCCATGACCAACAATTATATTCCATGACTTTCCAGGCCTGGAAAACAAAATTCTTGAATTCCATGACTCTCCAGGTTTTCATTGACCCATACAAGCCCTGATTAATTATAAAGTATTTAATAATAACTTTAACTCACATGTAACAATACTCACAGGAAAAGATGCTTTACACAGGAACTACAGAAGAAGTGGCCACAGCTTGCCCTTGTTGCATCCCTCAACACAGATTGACAGTATTCACAGATAAACTTGTCTTCGAGGTTCTGCTTGTCCCCTTCCAATATAGGGTAACCTGGCATTTTTGTTGCACAGAAATTATTAACTCAGCTCTGTGTAGCCACTGGTTTAGGAACTGGCTCTCTATACAGCCACACCAATGCTACAGCTTTGAACTGTAAATGGATGAGATACTCAAGTCCTGACATTTGAAGGAGTCTTAGAGGAAATTTGACTGCAAAATAGAAAGTCAAAAAATCAATACATTTATTTTGAGTTACGCTTAGTGAATAAGCAAAATGTCAAGGGCCTCTCCGCCCCTCCCCCAAGGAAAGACTCCTATAAAAAAAGGAGGGGGTTGCTCCTCTGAAATTTTGGAAAGAACCCCTAAGACGTACCAAGAGTCTGTTTTGTGGGCACACGGCTTGAATTTGTTTACCCCTAAGGTGTCAATTCTAACATAACACATTATTTCCTGTCATATGTTTTTTGAATGCTCATGTCATATTTTTTTGGGAAAAGTACACGAAGTGGTTTGAACAGCTTTCAAAGCACACAATTTCTAACAAACAATTAGATTATTATGGGCTCGAGATTTCTATCATGTGATAGAGATCGAGAGTGAGTAATTATAAATCTACTAGTGTAATCATAAATCTACCGAGTAATTATAAACCTACTGAGTAATTATACATCTACTAGACATTCAAAAATTTATCTAAATCCTCTTCAAAGATGCCAAGAAGCGGCTGTCATTTTGTTAACAAGAACACTACTGCCGATAGATAGCTAGTTAAGCATAGCCAATCAGAGAACAGCATTCATGATAGAGCACTAGTAGATTTATACCAAGTTACAATATACCAACATTTGTCTTGCTGAACCAATAGTCACAGTGGATTATGTGTCATGATCAGGCGCAGTTGCCTACACTTCTGACTAATAGTTATAGTATCTATACCACCTCCCTCAGTGGAGTCCTGGCCACTTACAAGATGTAGAAGCCTAATTGAAAATTACCCAACATTTCCTCACCAAAAAGGCCTGCATGTGCACTGCTGATTGGGTACTACAGCTTTACAGTTTTAGCCTGCAAGCACATAGATTATTTTTGCTTGTTAAAAAGTGACATCATGAGTCACTATTGCTAAATGTGTTTCAGAAAAATTGGGGTCATGCATGTATGCTCTGAATTATTTAGCTTCACTTGTTCCTGAAGGGCACTAATTTATATACGCTTTAATTGTTATTATATCATTATAGTGTTTGTATCCATTATAATGCGTGCTCTCATTGGCCAGTTCTGGGGCATTATTCTCCCGTGATGCCCACAGGCCAATTATAAGATGGGTCTGCAAAATCAAAGCAAAAAGCCACATAATAAACAACTCATTAACCTTGAACGTTCAGTCTTTACGGGAAAATCTCAAACCTTGGCCTTGCTGTATTGACCTTGCTATTGCTCAGTCAATATGGCAAGGTCTTGGTTTGAGATATTCCAGCAATGTCCTCACTCTCAGTCAATAAGTAGTTATCAGAAGGTTTAATCAGCAACTGTAGAAGTCTTAGGTGTGCACAGTTTATGCAATTAAATTTCACCAGGTAGAAGAATTTGGGACCTATGTAACTTGCCATAATTGTTTTCCTAATACAAGTTGTTTTAGCTCATTTCTCTCACAAGATAGTTTAATTGAGCTTTGAATTTCAGGGCTAGATCTCTAACAACATCTCTGGGTCTTTTTTTTGGTTCTTGTGCAGGTGGACTGTGCCCAAGATCCCTACTCAGTATTTTAAGTGTACTTTTCCTCTGGTTGGGTAAAACATGGCCTCTTCAAGGCGTTCAGTTAGTTGGGGTGCAGAGTGAAAAAAGGCGAGCGAAAAAATAGGGGAGAAGCACAGTGAGAGAAAGTGAAAGAACACCTGTGGGCAAACTTAACAAAAGGTCCTTCTGCCCACTTATAGACTGCCTACAGGGACCCGTAACACGACCGCAGGCTCGTGGTTTTCTGTTGTCAGCAGATGTGTTGAGAAATGATTCTCCAGAATTGTAAAAAGAAGATTGCTGAAAACGCCAAAACGACAAACAAATTGTAGATTGCCATCTGGACTCTGGATATACTCGTTCCGTGAAGCATGCTAATACCCTCTCAGGAGATCAAGAGGAATTGACTGGAGAATCACGGCATTCTTTCTCGAAGTAAAGCTACAGCTTTCTCTGATAAATAAGATAAATATGATATCCATGATAAGAAGCAACATGCTGTACTTGCAAACAGTTCAAACATCTGGGCCCTAATAACACAACATAAAAGTGTCCTTCATAAACAAGTGTGAAGCAAAGATAGGTCAAAAGACCGAAAAGTCTGGAAGAGGCTAGGTGAAACAAAGTAAGAGAAATATGTTTTCTCGCACACCACTGCGGCACTGGAAATAGGTCATGTGACCTTGATAGCTTAGGATACAGTTAGCTGATTGGTTAGCTGGCTGTTTATTTTGGTGATGGCGTTACATTGACACAATCTTGCTGCTGTGCATGTAGTGGTTTTCAATTTCTTTTTATAAAAGGCTGAAAAATCTCAAAACAGTTGGGAAGATCAGGCAAAATTATTTGATCTATGAAGACAACCTTGTCGCTGATGCTGATTTATACTACCTGTTAGGCTGAAGGATGAATGATGATGCGAAACAATGAGTGCCAAAGGCACAAGCTTCTGGAATGGTCTTGGGCCAATTGTCCCCCTCCCCCTGCCAGGAAGTGTTTTGGAGTTTAACTCCCTAAAATCCCCTTTCCTCTGTTTCTGTCAAGTTATTCTGACTGATTTCCATAAAATAGCAGGAACCAGCATGGATCTGCCCCTGCTTCTTGGCCTATAAGGATAAGCCACTTCTAAACCAAGCAGTTCCTGGGGAGGGTCTAAAAGAGTGGGTATTAACTTTTGGGTCAGGTCTGGAATAAGGAGGGAAAATGACATAGTTTTAGTCTAAAATAGGGTTAAAATTTCATGAAGCACACCACACACATGCACCCCACCAAAATTTTCAGGAAATACTGTACATCCCTGGGGTTCATGGGAATCAGTAATGAACAACTGCATGCAGATTGCAAGACAGCCGACATAATTGTCATAAATGCACAGTGAACAAACAGGAACACAAAAATTCCTTACTACCTGTAGTAGCTCACAGTAAAAAAGATATGGTTTGGATCCCACTGGACTCTCATAAAAAGGCTTTTAATGCTGGTGAATCCATTCCCAGCAACTGCATACACAGTTACATGTAAGTATGCAGTTATATTTTTCAGGCCNTCTAAAAATTATGTACAATACGGATGTTAAAACTATGGCATAACTATGAGATAATATAACGAATAAAAATACAAGAGATAAGAGATAAAATCAATTAAATGTACAAAAAGTATAACTAAATCAGAGAATAAAATTATTTAAAAGCTGCTGTTCTTCAAAAAAGATGCTTCGATAAGTTGGTTACCCTGTGTAATGTATTGTCACGTGATCCTAAGGATCACATGTCGTGTAAAGTACTGCAATAAACTCTTGAAGTTGAAACGTGTAGTCGTGCATTTCCTCATACTCATAACAGAAACTGAATTGAAAATTGTGCGAACCTACTCTAAAATGACGTGTATGTACACATTTTCAGAATTTTAGGTGCCCTGGATCCCTGAAAATTAAGACCTCTCCATATAGTAACTCGGACGCTATTAAAATGTTTAACTCATCTACTATTTGGGTATTTAGATAAGGACCAACTCAAGTCAGAAACCCTAAAAATTGCGGGATCACAATACTTGTTTTGGAGGTAAACAGGTAAAGCGCTTTGAAGACTGATCTGTGGTCAAGTAAAGCGATATTCGCTCCATTGCTATGTATTCCCGCACGGCCCGGGCTGGGTACATTTGCCAATTCATCATACAGACATCATCACTTACCCCTAACTATTTAGAAGATGATACACTGAAGGTTCCTTGCACTCTGTTAAAGCCGCCGATCGCCCCTAGGAAATCGTACCCGACCGTTCGTTCAGTTATTACGTTCAAAGAACAGAGCCAAGCAACTGGTCTCGTGATCTGCCTGTTAAGTTCATCCCGTCATGTAAGATTAATTTTAGTGTACCCAGACATAGACTTGAAACCCAAACAATTAGGCTAATTAGCGATGATCAATTAGTAATTGATGACTTTAATATATCGATGACCAAAAATTTTATGGCCTATTAATTACTCATTGATGCCATTGATTATTCATTGATGCTGATAATTGATTACGGAAAAATTCCATGTTAAACCCCTAGGCTTATATAACTTCAAAAGGGGTTTTGGGCGGGCTTATAAACGGAGGGCTTATATCCAGGGGGGCATGTAAGTCGAATAAAGAAAATGTTTCGGAACGACGAGATAAAATTAATGACTAATAGTGATGACTGAAAATTTTATGGACCCCATTAGCCTGTTCCAAGCTTCGGCAGTTAGGGACGAGCGAAAAAAAGAGGGCAAGCGAGAGAAAAAACGAGGGAGGACTCCAACTACCGAGAGCCTGGAACAGGCTATGGCCCCGTTTTGATTAAACTATCGGCAAATTAATAATAAATAACTATTCAACTAATCATCAACCCTTGATTACATAATGATTTCATTGAGGACATTGATATCATCTGGTAAAAATATTTTTAAAATAGAAACTTTATTTAATTTCAGTGTCAAAATGTTAATTTAGCTGTAGATAGTGAGACAAGCTAATTGGGGACACTTCTAGACTAAGAAGAAAAAAAAAAAGAACTCTGAAGATATAAGAGAAGAAAAGAAAAGCTAACACTAACTATATGTATAAAATAAATAAGACTTCCATGTTTGTGGGTTGGTTGGCCGGGGTGCGTGCAGAAATCTTACAGTAAAAGGAAACATTGCAACTTAATTGGAGAGAATTTCAGTCTGATTAGGTTGCGCACAGGCCAACCACTCAATTTATTTTGTCAACTAGGCACCCCTTCCGCTGGGTCTGCGAGAATGAGCAGCGTAGGCTCTGGGTACCAGAGAGTTTTTGCAGACAGAAAACAAATTACCGTCCGGTACAAGAATAAGGAGCCTGGGAACAAGGTTTTTAACAACACGTCATTGAAAGTGATCTTATCCAGCAAGAACTCTATTATTAGTAGTAACTCGCTCATTTTGACACTCCCTTTGGTCCTAACGGTGTCTGTATTATAAGCAAAATACAGCAGCTCCTCTCAACCCCTCTCAACATCAATGTACCGCGGTGCCGGGGGGGGGAGGTAGAGGGACTGCAGCCCTCTAGTCTAGAAAAAATATCAGATTATTCGGGCAAAACTGATGTACCGTGAGGGCAAAGACACTGTTGAAAATATTTTCTCATTTAATGTCTTGCAACTGTCGCAGTGAGCAACGCTGTACTCAAATGTGATCGCATGCTGCACGATGCTATAAAACAAAAATCAGGAATTGACACTACGAAATTTACCTTCGGAGATGCCAAGGTGCCTCGAAGCAGACCATCACCCCGACTTCCGGGTCCGACTGGTGACACAAGCGTTCAACACCACACCCACCCATCCCCTCCCCCCATAGTAGGAGCATCCTGCTCACGGCTAATAACATTTTTGCCATACGCCGGTGACTTTCGAGTTCAGATTACTTAATATCGGCTAGAAGAAGGGGGAGGCCAGATGACTTATTCGGTAGCAGCGTTGTTGTCATGTTTACAGGGGTATCGCTTCTCTCCTTTAAACGATGCTAGTCCAACAAATATTAAAGTATTCCTTGTAATTCACCGGCCAGTGGGGGACCCCCATATAAAAAGGACGTTATATGGAAGTCCCCCCACGGGGAATTCACCATTGCCCATTTATGCTCTCGGATGAAAAGAAGCGATGTGAGAGTAAACTGTCTTCGGAAAACAACAGAGTGACCATGGTCGGGCCCCTAATCCAAATCTCTGGATCTCTATGTGCGTCATAACTTTTTTAGGAAGCTTGGTTCGCTACGACTGCTGAAAAAAATGTTCTGCGATCATTGAGATAGATTTAAGTTGTGATGACGCTTATTAATTTCAACTAATTTCTCTCACGCAATCTTAATTGCCACATTAACGTTAAGTAGCTCAAAATAGCTGCACCATATTTCGGCGCTTATTGGACCTATATAACAGGCAGAACGAGATCAATAGTTGGACACTTATTGCAAAAGTATGTTTTGCAAATAACTAGAGCTCAAATAATACACCTTGTTGTAGTGTAGTCATGCCAGTATTTGAAAATGCTCGTACGCCAATAACTTCAAAAGGTTACCAGTGGTAAAATTTGACCTCTATTAACTTATACAGATTCAGTTTGTTCCATTACAACCATTAGATTAGAGGTAGGAATACTCTTCTAAATTGAGTAACATAACTGGGTACAGAATATAAAACGGTATTAAAATTTACGTCCTTTGTCTCTAACAAATATATCAATAACGCATCACGAACGAGCTCCCAGGGCCCTTATGGATACCAGCCTAATTGCTGAGTGGGCGACCCTGACGTACTTACTTACTATTTAAAATTTAAAATTCAAAATTTAAAAATTAAAATTCTATTTTTAGCCAGGGAGCACCTGCAAATAAACAAATACATGAAACATGAAATGAATGACAACTAAGTCACCATTGTATTCTTTCTACCTGTTGAGACGAACAATGCTTAAGTTTTTCAAGTAGGTTTTAGTTAACAAGCAGTTTTCGTTATTCTCTTTTTGTAAACAATGCATACTAGCCTAGCATTACGACAAAAAACACCGTGTATTTCAAACGTCTGCATTATCAATCACTGCATTCAAAAACAATGTATGTCGTCTTGAACATACACGTAAGATATCATTAAGTTCATGACACTCGGTGGACCGAGTGTTCCTCTACAAAACCAACCTCGTTCCCAGAGCCACGGTCCCTTTCAGTCAGCACGAAAAAAAAACACAGGCGAAACATCACTGCATTTAAAAAAAATGGGTTGGTGAGCCAGCATTAGTAACGCCGGTCACTCTCTGTGCGCACGTTCAAACACAATAATCCACGCTCACAATAAAACGGAACCAGAATTTCAGATTCCGGCTTTTGACATAAAATGAAGTTGGGCGCTCGGCCTGTTCACAGCTGACCAAAGCCGCGTGAATTCTGGGGACAAGATTGCCCACACTATTTCCGTTCCAATAAATGCCTGTACAAATCTTTCTTTCACATTACCTCCATCAAGCAACATGACAGGAACATGCCCTTATAGCACTTACCCACAAAAACAAGGACAGATCACCTAGGAGGGTGTAGCCAGCCAGGAGATGCTAAATCTACAAGTCTATCACTGACCAAAAAGCAAGAGCCGACTCGTACATGAAGCAAAGACAGACAAAAAATACGAGATCCAAAAACACAACTTTGAAACAGTTAACCAAGCAGATCTCAAGCGAAACTACACTTTTTCAAAGAGTCTGATCTCACAAGGCTTCCTTTTTCTACCATTAATTTGCTTCACTGTATTAAGCAGTGTGAAATTTGGTTTAAGTTCGATTTAGCACCTCTACTCCCCCTCCCTCGTTCAGAGTGATCCAAACAACAGAGGTAGGCGCCAATTAAGATGGTACAAGTTTATTGCACGCGATATTTTAACATGCGCTGCTAGCGCCGTGCAAAAATAGCATACATCTACGAATGTCATAGGCAAACAGGTTTCAAGTTTAAAGAGAAGTTTTATGGAAGTTTTCAAAGCAATTTGTAGGTTTGCTTTACGAGAAAACAATACGTGTAATAGACTAGAGAGCTTTTTGCACACGACAAAGTTGTACCCCCAAACATGTTCCTCCCGAGTCTCACTAAGGATCAAGGTAGTTTACTCCTAAAGAAACTGTTTTGCTGGGTTGCCAGGCAAGTGAAATACTTAATTCATAATCAACTAAAAGCTGATACAAAAGAGAAATTAACCACTGTAGCGAATTTGGAAAAGCTGACGTATCGAGTATATATCCCTTTCTGTAATGCTTGTTACAGATCACTTATATCCACTATGATTTTTAGGAACATAGTATCGTCTCGAACATACGCATGGTTGTTAAGTTGAGCAAGGGAACAGAACATTGGACATCCACTGGCGATGTTGGTTTCTCTTGTCGGTCTCTGGAAGGAGGAGCTGCTCGGATCAGGTCTGAAGGCATCGATCACGTGTTCCACGTTATCCTGATCCAGTAACATGAAGGTGACCTTCTGTCTGAATGGCCAGCGCAGCAATGCATCGTACTGACCACGCATGACCACAAAGGAGATCGAGATGTGTGTACCTCGGCCCATGCCATCGCCATTCAAATATACCCGTGCACACATCTTGTATCCAAAGCGACTGGTGTAAAAACACGGGCTGTAGAAGGACACCTGTTGTCCGGTAACTGCGTCGTTTCTTCTGCGAGCATAATCGGAAATCTTCCACAGCAACTGACCGTCGAAGCTTGAGAATTCTTGTTGTCTCACGTACTCCTCTAAGTCAGCCAGTGTTACATTTCTAAGTGCCAGTGTGTGCTCGAGAGACTCGATCCTGCGTTCTTGCAACGTGGCCAGCTGCTGCACCTAGAAGTTCGACCCATATTAATATGTTTCAAGATTTTTCTTTGTTAAATTATTTGTATATATGTATTTTTTATATTTTATCGATCTTAATAGTAATTATACAGTTTTAATATTATTAAGAATAAAAATCAGTGACAATAATTTCGAATGACGCTTCGCTGACTCGTTCATCATTTTCAAATTCTAAAAGTCAGATTCCTATGAGTTCTTTATACACTAAGAATGAGTGTGAAAGTCTCGTTGCATGTGATTAAAAACTCTATATGAGATACGTGGATGACACCTTAGCCGCGGTAAAAGATATTCCAACTGCTACGGCTTTCCTGTCAACATTAAACGAGGCACGCCCAGCAATCAGCTTCACAATGGAAGTTGCAAACAACAGCAAACTTAACCTTTCATCAGAAAGGAGCTCAAAAAGATTGGAAAACAGGCTGAAAACATGTGTCTACAGGAAAATAACAAATAAAGGCCTGCTTCTCCACTATCAAGGGAGGTGCGGTGGCCTCATGGTTAGTTCGCTCGACCCCTGAGCGAGCACTCAGCACTCAGCTATTGGAAAACACCTGCGTGACGCTCACAATCTGAGAAACAAAGATCTTCAAGAACAATTTACCATCCTTAAGAACTGTCGAGGTAAATTTGAATGCTTAAATTTATGAAATGCTCTTTGTCCAAGAAAAGAAACCTTAACCGAACACTCAATCTGACTCAATTAAAGCAAAACTATTTAGTACTTAATTAACACTCGCTACATTCCACATTGTAGAGTTTTTAATCACGTGCAACAAGACTTTCACACTCATTCTTAGTATACAAAGAACTCATAGGAATCCGACTTTTAGAATTTGAAAATGATGAACGAGTCATCGAAACGTCATTTGAAATTATTATCACTGATTTTCATTTTTAATTGTTTGTCCAAAGCCTCCGTTATTTTAATATTATTCATTTTAATTTATTTTATTTCTTATTTATGTTGTGACTAGACCTGTAAAGTAGCTTTCTATATAGCTAAGAGTCAGTCACTTAAATAAATATTGAAATAAATTACATATTAAATTAATATTCTCTCTTACTCTGACGCCCTCCTGCAAAGCTTTGTTAAACTTGTCTTCTAGGTTGACCAGTTTCTCGTTAAATAAATTGCGTTCCATCTTCTGGTCATCGTATGATCTGATTAACTCTGCAATAGTCTCTTGGACCATCCGAACTGCATTTTGTAGATCATCTTGTCTATTTTGTAGGTTTCCATGTTCAGCTAGGCACTCCTGCAGTTGCCGCATTGCGTTTTGAAGGTTGTCTCGAAGATGACGTTGCCCGTCTTGGAAATCACGTTGCTCCTCTTTGAGATTTTCCAGTACATGTAGAAAGTCATCCACCACATCTCTGAGGTTATCCATCTCATAATAGAGATGGTTATGAGAAGTCCGAAGATGTTCCTGCGCATAAGAACCATTTTAATCATACAGTTAATTGAACCTCCTGCTTTTCCAGCGTACACCATATAGACTGATAACGACAGCCTGGAATTCATTACAACACCACTTTATTTATAACGAACCCCAGCATTATAACAATGCAAGCACATTAATATTTTGTCAGTCCCTTGGCAGTTAATTGCGAACACCCTTAGGAAAACAGTAAGTAATAACCCACTTCCGAAAGTAACGAAATCCTTTACTTTCAGATTTAACAACCTTTTCCTAACACTACTTTCGGCCGGAGAGTCGCAACTATTTTTAGGGGAGGAAGGATCGCTACTGACCAGTATCTAAAATTTGCACCGCAAGTGGGCATATTCATCTTAACAAATAGAAGCCTTTTTAATATAGATACCGAAGAAAAGTAATGTATTGCCTTAAGAACTTGATATTGTCAAACAAATATCGGTTTTTGTTTTCAAAAACTACAAATTGCACTTGCCCTGTGGCCTCGTGCAATTTGTTCACAGTTGTTCATTCCAAATTACTTATGCTAATTTAGTAGTTAGCAATGTATTACCTTCATCAAGTTGCAGCTGAGTTCAAAGCCACAAAATCTACATTTCTCTGGCCTACAGCTACACTCTGTTGTCAAGTGATGACCAAGATCACCTCTTTTAACCAGCAACCCACAGGCCCGATAAACACAAGGAACTTTCATGAATCCACATGTGGCTTCATGGTCCTGAGAAGAAAACATACTGATACATCGAGCTTGCCTTTTCGAATTATATGTTTTCTATAGAAAAGTTGGCAAGCCTGTGATAGGGTTTTAAGACATGAGACAGTAGTCGGACTGCAGATTGATTCTGATAAGGATCAGAAGTTCAGACAGTGTCTGAAAGAATAGACATAAAAAGACAAAATCAAGAAAACTTGAGAGTTGCCAAGTGTTGCCTGTGTCGTTTAATACCTAATTTCAACCGTCTTATATCCCGTTTCCGGCACGAAAAAATTGTTCATTCCCGCTTTCCGCCATGAAAATAAACAACTTCCCACCTCTCGCTAACCCCTTGTAAACCCGCCTTCATATTTCCATTTATTATATGGAGAAGAGTGTGTTACTGGGAACTAAACCACTCGTAGATTCCATACGCCACTTCATCCGGGACCCGAGTGGCGTATTTTCCNCTCACGAGTGAGCGAAGCGAACTCGTGAGATATTGTTCTTGCCACGAGAACATAAAATTCATATCTTCTCGCCACCGTGTAATATCCTCTATATATCTCGCATCCCGGAAGTGAAAAAAGGTTCATCTTGCATCCCGCCAACCCTGTGTTAGCCGAGACCCTTGCATCTGCAGGTAGAAATTTTTTTTCTGTGAAGTTATAGCAGCCAGTTTTTCAGTTGTAGCTAGCCATAAACAAATTGTAGTTAGCGATATACTATTAAATATTCTGGTGGTTCTGGTTTAAGTACATGTTCTTTAAACTTGATTTGGTCACAGGAGGAAAATTATGCTTTCAGCATAGCTGCAATTTTGTCAGTTTCCACTCTGCTCCTACACGTGGCATAATTAATCCATGTGTTGCATGTTGAAGAAAATTGCGCCCACTGTAACAAATTAATCAAAAGTAGACACCATCCTTAAAAACAGACAGCCTCACTCAAATTAAGACTTCACACAAAAAAGGACAACATTATTACCTCAAAAAGATTTACTTCTCCTCTCCATGCACATCCCTCATCTTGAAAGGTGCAGGATACATGTACCGTCAAGGCAAGAATTTCACGGCGCATGAACTTATCTTTTAAAGTCTGGTTCTATGAACAATCAAAACATTGACGGACTTTTTCTAATAAAGTTATGCAGTGTTCTTATTACCAACAGGAATGTGTACTTAATATGTAAATTTGTATAGTTCCAGAAAATGAAATAATACAATCCTAATTAGTCCACGGAGGGTATTCCATACTTCCCAAAAGATCCCTTACCTCCCAAGAATGTCCTGTTTTGAAGTTCATGCACCCATCCACTCTGTAATGTTGTACGTCATGCATTCAGACAATCCTAGCTACATCGCCTGATTTTGAGAGTCAATAGGAATCTTTAATTCCATGAGCTCTTATTTGTCCTGATTAGCAGTTACTCCGTCCATAGGCTTGTGCATGGCCAGCCTTTGCCAAGTTTTAGTTCAACATCATTTGTGATCAAGTTTACCCCTAGCGAGATCACAACACACTACAGGTGTGTTTATTTTCTGGAACTACGCAAATTTATTGGTCATTAAATCAACAATTGATTTTTTAATGAACACAAAAAAGTAAAAACAAGTATAAAATCATGTAGTATTACCTTCAAGTTGTGAATAACATACCCATCCTTTGCACAGCAGAAAGGCATTGTAGCATTCCTATCACAATCAAAAGTAGTCAGGTAAAAAGATGTTTTGTCCAGAAGCCAAATTCGGAGTCCCTTTGCCCAAACAGAAAGTCTGTTTGCCCAGTTACAGCTTCCAAAGCCATTTTTTAGATAATTTGTAGATTTTTCAAACATTGACTGGAATATTCATCGCACAAACTGACAGGTTTGCTCCAGCATTGGTGTAGCATGTTCATTTGTTTAGTCCCAGGGCCAGGCCTTAATAAACATAGGTTTGTGCAGCAAACATTTGATTGTGCAGCAAATAACATTAAGTCAAGTAAGCTGATTCTCGCATTCAAAATGTAAGATTGATTACACTGTCAAACGTGGGAGTGTCAAAAGAATTTTCTCTTTTGTTCCACATCCCATCAAGTTGCCAGAGTTGGTTGTTTATTCTGGTGACTTTTCTAACAATAGCAGCTTACTAGTTGCTTGAACAAGGTAAGTATTGCTTTTTTTCCCTTGTTACTAGCATATCTTAACTGTTTATACCTATGGTTCAGTTGTTCAGAACGCAAAGTAAACGGAATTAAGCATTGATCAATCAAATGATACAAATTTTGATCCAGTCAGCCCAACCTTAGGTTTGCAATTCACTCTTAGTTTATTTTATACTATACATTAGTTATACATATCCATTGTTAGAAGTAAATTAAGGCTCAGAAATAAGTCCTATGAATAAGATGTTCATATTTAGTGTTCTCCCTTGTTTTCTGAGCACAACAGGTAAAGAGCTTTTCAAACCTGTAGAACAATCAGGTGAACTGCAGCCATGTTTATAATCAGGTCTGATTGAAGTACACTACATTAAATAGAAATTTGCCCCCCAAAAAACATTTTCTTTCAAAGAACCTCCATCAAATACATATTACAGTTTACTGGCATTAGATGTCAAACAAAATGGAGCAGAATTTTGACTTCACTTGTTTTATTCTGTGTTTCAATCCTCTTAGACCAAAGAAAAAGTGGCACAAGCCACTTTTGGGGTATTCTTGCTGGGCTTAATAATACAGGTGATCACCCTACAAAATCAGTGGTATCTGCCTCAAATCGCTGCATATTCCCTATTTTAGGCCATAACAAGTGGAGCTAAAGGCATTAAATTTTGCCAGTAACCACCTGAAAAGGGGAACATTAACATATAGGTTTTCAATAACATTCAAATAAAGGTGGCTTTTACTAAAATGAAAAGTGGTTTCCTTGCCTGTTGCTCAAATTTGCATATTAGTGAAGTTTGACACTTGTGATGCAAACCAAACATGTAACAAAAAGGTTGAGCTTTCACTAGGACAATTTTGGCTGGATAAAGTCAGAAAAGTCTGGAAATGGAGTGAAAACAGTGCATCTTGAATTAAGTTAGTTAAAAATGCATGCTGTTTTCAACAGAAAAACAAGTGATAATCTAGCCGATATGACTGGAAATTCTTGCCAAGTTATACTACCTCGCGAGATGGTACAACTTGTCCTGGTAAATGCCGCAACCAATCGCAATGTACATAGCAGCAGATGCCTGCCAAATGCGCTGCAGGCTATGTTATTTAAAGGAGGCTCATATCTAGTTAACAACACAGAACTTTAAAACCGGCAGACGAGTTCAACAGACCTCATTTATTTTGATAATTTACCATTCCTACCACCCTCTTAGATTCTCCAATTCCTCGCCCAGGACCTAGTATGTCATAGCTAGTATGTCACGCCGTCGCCATTCAGAATGAGTTCCCTCATTACAACATTTTTGCATCTTCCACATTTCTAGGGTCATTAACCACATCCTCTGGTATAAATGCCTTCTCTTTTAATTCCGTAAATATAGAAAAAAATAAATGCAAGAGAAGTCATTAATAGCACCTCCTCTGTCAGCCATTTTTGAAAGTTGTGTCCTTTTGGAATTTGAATCGCCTGGTCAGTGGGTTGATTTCTGGATTAAATTTTCCATTGAAAACAGAAGTCACATTTAAAGACCCTCTGTCAAATGGCATGCATTGTGAGCATTTGTTTTTGTTTTGATTCTGTCGATGAAGATAGCATCAAAAAATTGAAAGGATTTGGTTATTTGGTGGCCTCAAATATAATTTACTGGTAAAAACAGGTACAATGTTTGCTTTAGATGCCATTTGACTTAAAACTACTGTATTTTGAAATTCTGACCTTGTGTTGTGAGGTGACAAATGTCACCTTCAAAGTTCCTACCGCCTCAGGCGCCATGCCCGTGAGAATTAAAACAACTCCACAAAATAAATTTACTTTTTTAGTTTCTTTCACAAACTTATCTATAAACAGAATGTACAGCACTTACTATGCTTAGAACAATGTCTTAGTCATGATGTAGAATAAGAGTAATGAACAGTATTTCGTTTTTTGTCATTGGCAATTTCATACCACACTTTGGAATCCCTACAGAGTTATTATCGATAACCAGGCATGTACGGATACTTAAACATTTTCAGTTTGCTTTTTTTTACAAGAAAGGTTTTCTTCTCCAGGAATAAAATGCAGTAGAGAAAGCACTTTTCATCACTAATAAATTTCAAGAAATCTCACCGAAGGTAACCTAAAATTGGATGAATCTACAAGCGATTTAATAGCTTTTCTGAAGGCTAGCAATGACACTAGGCAATGATAGCAATACAAAGGAAAATAAAACCAAATCTCCGTCACTTACTGCAGTACACAGAAGTATGTTTTCAGGTATCAGAGTACATCTTCCCTACTGTTTGTCCACTGATCCCAGGGTGCTTTTCTCAGATAATTCCCTTAAGAGCCTGTATGGGTCTGTACCTTCCACCTGGGTTCTTTGCAAATCACATCGTACCAGCCATTGTTTAGCTTCTTAAATTTTTGTAACAGAGTATTGTTCTCCTAAAATAATTGCCCTACCCAAAACAGCAATATTGAAACTGTTGATGAAGAAGGCTGTGACTAAAAGTGGGACGGGGACGTGGGGACTAGGATGTGGGACGTGGGACGTGGGACGTGGGACGTGGGGCGTGGGACGCGAGACGCGTGACGTGGGGCGTAGGACGTGAGGACATAGGACTCGGGGATGTGGGGACTTGGGGACGTGGGAACTCGGGGATGTGGGATGTGAGGACATCAGTACTCGGGGACGCAGGGACTCAGGGACTCGGAGACTCGGGCATGTGATAAACAAACAATACCTGATTTTTGCGCTGAATGTGTAAAGTACAATTTTCGGTGGTGTCGAGTTAACAAATTGACGTCAGTTTTTCATGCATCTGTCCTGTTATTGATCATGAATTTAGTCATAATGTTGTCAAAGTAGCTGTGGATCCACGAGGCAATAGCCCAGTCAATAACAGGACAGGCGCATGAAAAAATGGCATCATATTTGTTTTTTACAATAGCAAATTGTCAAATTGTTTGTTCTCACTCATTGACACATCACACAAACTATAAATTCTTGAGTCTGTTCGCTTATTGACAATGAAATTAGCCAACGAGCATGCAAGAATTTCTGCAGTTATCATAAAAAAGGTATTATATGCTGGAGAGCACGTCAGCAGTACCTGATGATTCCCAGCATCCATGGTTCGACCTGGTATGTTTGCATGCCTATTTTACCATGAGAGCTCTTGGTACAGAAAAGGTCATAAACCTCGTGGGTAGTCAACTATGTTTTCATGTTAAACCTTTAACCTTTAACATCTGTACCTTATCCACCACCGAAAAATTTACATTACACATTTAGCGCAAAAATCAGGAGTTGTTTGTTTATCACCTCCCCAAGTCCTCGCGTCCCACCTCCCCGCGTCCCTGAGTCTTGATGTCTTCACGTCCTACATCCCACATCCCCTGGTCCCTGAGTACCCAAGTCCTAGAGTGCCGCATCCTTGTGTCTCACGTGTCCCATGTCCCACATCCCCGTCCCACTTTTAGTCACAGCAAGTGAAGAAGGATACCTATTTGAAAATCAAGTTAGATCGCTCAGATTATCACAGATTGAAATAGCTAAGACACCATGAAACAAACTTTTCATATCATACGAAAAGTGAGTCACAGCACACAATGCATGCTGTTCGACAGAGAGTCTTTAACTAGGGAATGTTGGTCTGTAAACAAACACATAGAAAGATTCGCTCGGCTAGTTAACGACCTAGTGAAAACACAACCAAAGAAAAGTTCAATTCCACTTTTCACATTTATTATTTCATATAATATTTCATCACAGAGGCAATGAACATAACAAGGAAGAGGGGGGTGAATAGGGGTATGCAAATCCACCGATCCAAGCCTTTTTCTCGCCAAATCCGTCGAACCGCCAATATATTTGTTCATATCCAAAACCACAACCACATCCGGAAACAGAAGTGCAAAAGTTTAAAGGTAAACTGGTAAATGTGAATGGCATTGTTAATTTCGCACAAATAGTAAAGAAGGCAACATACTTGATGACTATAACACAGTACAATTCCAATAACAGTCTCACACCTGAGTTTAAATGAGCTTCGTTCGAAAAAAAAAACTTGGATGAACTCATTAACATACCGACCAAGGCTGAAGAAAGATCTATGATCCAAATTTCGTTTAGCACCCAAGATTCGAACATCAAGACAGGCACAATCCGGAATCTGCGCCAAAATTCACAGCTGATCCACGATCCACTGTGTTTTAATTTCAAAATCCACGAATCCGTTCGATTTACCGCAAAAATCCACAATCCGTGTGCTTTTAAGGCCAAATTGCCTCAACAATTCGGGGCGAACCGACGCTTATTTTGGGCCTCAAAGCGAATTGGGTTTCGGATGATGCGATCGTTCCAAGAAGAAGAAGATGCATCAAAATAACATTCATTTATACTTAAGGTTAAGTTTGAACTCACTCTAACAACTGTGTAAGACATGACTCGCAATAGACATGGCCACATTCCGTCTGAACGGCATCTCTCAGAAGATCGCCACAGAGACTGCAAAAATACTTAGCATCAAGGTTGCTTTTATCCACACCGACTAGACGATATCCAGGCATGGTTTAGTCGAAAAGCGGTACCGTCAGTTCAAACTACTAGAGAGACAAAATACGATGGAGTAACGCAGCGATAAAATGACGGAAATTTCCTTGCTATCCTCGAGCATTGTAGAGACTCATGGGATAGGGGAATTTTGGGGAGATTCCCCTATCCCATGAGTCTCTGCAATGCTCGAGAATTCAGCGTGTGTACGGCTGCCTGTCTGTGGTCTGTGTGTACACGTAGCATCTGAGTGCATTAGACATCTGCCAAAGCTCTCTTATTATAGCGATTTTTAAAAGACTGTACCATGCCTTTGCGTTTAAACCAATAACTCTCAGATTTGGTAAACTTACTAACGTTTGGCTGCTCTTTCAGATGGCGGGTTCTATTTTTCAATTCAATCGATTTTAAATTTCTCGCGTTTCCTTCAGTGAATTTTTTTAAAATGTAGCTCTGTTGTAACCACATATAATTCCTATAAAATACGCTATTTTTGTTAAAATCTGTCAGAGCTAATCTAATATATTTAGAAGAATGACAAATTACAGAATATTGGAAAAACCAACTGAACAACCTTGACTCTTTACTCTTCAAAATGTCCAGCAATATCATTTCTATGATGTGGCAAAGTATGAAAAAATTTCACTGAAGGAAAGTATAAATATTAAGGATTGGAGTTTAGACCAAAATGAGGAATATATCTGCCTGTCATTATATGAGATGTTGCCATGGTAACAGCCTTAATCCCAAAAAATCGACAACCAAAAAGTAAGCCTTATTTTAACAGTAGCCATACTGGTAAATCTCTACAGGGAAAACTTAAAGAGAAATTAACTAAGTTTCCTTTTCTATCTTGTGCTCTATAGGGAGTGTGTTCGTAAATACTCTAGGGAGACACCTTTAGTACATGAAAACGATGTTTAACTTGAAAAAAAACTCCCTGACATTCGAAAAAAAGCATGTGCTCTAAGCCATCAGCATCAAGCTTTCGACGAAATGATGGTAAGAGCTAGCAAAGTAGAGAGCTTTGTTAATCAAAATAAACGTGTAATTTTTCTTTCCTTTTCTTGCAAGGAGTAGAAACACTTTTAACAGTTTTTTCAGTCAGCGTGATGTTTCACCGACATGCACGTGCATGGATGTAGATGTAGCTTAGCTTGAGGGAAATCTCTTTCATTGTGTAAGTGCACACGCTCATTTGCATGCACTAATGACATGAAAATTGTGCGCAGTAGGGATGCGCAATGCAATACTGATGAATCACCTTAAACTTGGAGAACTGTCTTCTTTATTTATTGTCTATAATATCACATATAATTTCTTGACTTTATCCAGTGAATGGTTTTTGATTTTATTTTTTTATAGCGTGACTATGCACACAGTCTATTTCAAAGCCTGTACGTTGAACATTTTAGACTGTTATTAAACAGTCACAGAGTTTATTTTTACTGAGGCGCAGGAACTCTATTTCATGTACAACTACGTGAAACATAATCAAACCCAACGAAAAGTAAGAACAATAATGTCAGCTGACTATAATGTGACCACAGAAAATTGCTGAGATTCACATACACGTGGCCACAAGTTCTGGATATCTCTCTTCCCTTGAAAATTTGAAGGGCAGGTTCCTTGGTTTAACAGTATTTTTTCACAAAAAGGGCAACCTTAATAATTAACCAAAATAATCCAAATTACTACCTTTGGGGCACAATACCTAGTTCTATGGTATATACCTTATTTGTCAAACTTGTATGCAATAGCATCACTAGGAAGAGTAGAAAGGAGTTTGCATAATACAACTCTTTGTGCAATATGTCCTTGCATTAGTTAAACACAAAAACATTGAACTGTTTAAGGCATAATGAAACCAGAAAATAGTTTACAACTGAGCAAACAAACACAAGAAGGAAATATTTTTCCCTCCATCATCACCACTCCATTGTCAAAAGAGCCAAGAACATGAGCATTGGCATCAACTGCCTGTGAAACAAACAAACACTTGCCGACTCTCAAGAAACTGCACACATAAACAGATTTCAAAGTCAGTGAAAGTGTGCAAGAGTCAATGGGAGAGCATGAAAGTTGGTGGTCAAACACAAACATGAACGCTCATCAACTGGTCTTACAACTACATGTTTACATAACTACTGTATAATCATCATTATTTTGATCTGGTTTAATAACTTTCTGCAGTTGTCCCAAACAAATCCCCAAACAAGCATTTTTTAAAATTTGGAAGTTTGGAATGAAAAATAGAATCAATTCAGGAGTAATGACAGTCATTCTTAAATATAAACAGAACATGCTACCCTGTAAGTATTTTGACTGCAATATTCAACCACTAGACTACAGCTGTGAATGGCCAGCAAGGTTGTAGACATATTTCACATCAACGGTGTTCAAATAAAGCACCAAAATATGCCTATGCAGTCTTTGCTCCACTGAAAAACTCTCAGAAATTTCTTCTTTCAAAACATCAAGGCACACACTCATAGGAAGGTTATTCCGCAACCTTGGCAGTTGCCTATGACTTGCATGACTTAAGTACTGTGGCAAACAGCTGTCCTTGGAGGAAGAGAGTTTTCGAAGCCATGGGACATCTGTCATGATCTCAACAGGCCCACTAGAAAGTTCTCTTTGGATTCGATAGATGTCTCTATTCCAGGGAAAGTGAGGAAATCTTTCTAATGTGCTGTCTACAGGTTTGAATCCAAGATTGTCAATTAGCTCATTGTTGATAGCGGTAATGGTATCAACCCAGCTGTAAATAGAAACCTTTGTCACTATGCCCACAGGATTTCCCTGATCATGGATGACACAAAAATGGTAGTCAAGTGTTGATGAGAACAACTGCCGCTCAAGTTCAACTGGATCAAATGATTCTGTCGGTTGTAGAGAAATGATTCGACTAGTATTCACAGGTAAATTGTATAACTCATCTAATAAGCTCTTCATGTGCAAGGCTGGGCACCATGAGAAGTTTGCACGATTCAAAAGACAGTTCTGGAACTCAACTTGGGACAGCTTTTTGCAAGAGTTGCATGAAAAAGAACAGAGTCTTGGGCAATTGATGATTGACAACTTGATGACTCCACATTTCCGCAAGGAAACACTTTTTATGACTTGCGATGACAAAACAAGTTTGCCTTCCTTATTAGAAACATCTTCAGTTTCACTGAGGTCCATGGATGATCCTGTCTTGAACATATGTTCAATTTGGAGGTATTCAATGGCTGGCAGCTGACGAAAAAAATGGGAGAAATGTTCCAAAGACAAACTCTTGCATTTGTGTAGAGTCAAATCACAGAGTGCCATACATGTTAAGTTCGGAGTAAACCAGAGTGCTGCATTCCGCAGATTGGGGCAATTGTACACTGATAAATAGCGTACCTGAGGAAAAACTTGCAAAGCTAGTTTCATTCCTCTATCAGACAATGCGGGTGTCTGCTCCCTTTCTACTATTAAGCCATGCTCTAGCAGCTCCTCCTCTGTATATTGCCCCTTTTCAGGAAAGTCATCAGCATATCCAAGATGAAGACATTCAAATCTTGGATATTCAGCATGAGCCATTAGCAATGCCGAGAACACTGCATCCTTCGTCAAAGAAGGCTGAACAAGTAATTCTTCTAATCGAAAGGCAGACACTAGCACCAAGTACCCCAGATCTACTTCAAGAGCATCATAACACGATGCAAGAGACACTCGTGTTAGATATCGAAAACTGCCTAGTCGCCAGTTGTCCTCAACCACATGGCGAAACACACCTCCTGGAAAAGGGACTCGCACCAATTCAAGACGTTCCAGTTGGGCCGCTTTTCCAAGTGCATGGAAAAGTGGAATACAAGCTAGTGGACTAAATGATCCAGTTTTAACATCACCCATGCAGTTTTTCATGATGAAATGCTCCAGCTTAGGGCAGGAAAAATCTCTGAACGGCTCAGGATCTGTAAACTTCACCCAGCGCAGCTGAAGAAAGCTTAAACTTTCTATCAGAGGTAAGGACGGTACTGTTACCCCTGTTAGAATCAGCTGAGATAACTTGACTCTACTAGGAATTGATAATCGACTTTGCGGAGAAATCGGAAAGTCTCCCCCCCGGTTCCGGAAGCCCCCGGCAATTTCCAAATTTGGATTGATAGCCAACATGGCATCCAACACTTGGATATTGGAAGTGCTGATGGATTTAAGTTTATTACAGAAAGTTAGAGCAGCAGTGATACCATCGACACTTAAAGTATCTGCATGCCTTCGTTGTCGTTTAGTTATTGACCGAGGATGTATTCCGAACACGCTAGTTACCTCTGGGCATCGTTGAAGCAGTCGTGAAAATATACCATCTGTAATGAGTGGGGACATTTCTCCGTACCACTTTCCCTCCGTAAAGTCGACCGATTTTCTTGTTCTCAAGTGGATTGTTGCGGCGATTGAAAGTTTCTTAGAAGTCGTCTCAAGCAGCAGTATTTCTCTAAGTGTCAAGGAAGACATGATCTTCACCAAGATCTCCAGAGACAAATGATCGAGTGAGGCTAGCCTCGCCGTCATTGAGTTTTCAACCCCATATCCCGGATAAAATGAGTTACCATCCATGTCTTTATCTGGTGGGCAGTCCACATCAAGCTGAAATTTCCTTTTATCCATTTTGTAGGATCTGGTAGTAATTTTAAAGCTGAATGCACTAGTACGGGAGATACATCTCTCCTCTTCCCACAACAAAACACTTCCGAGCAAACGGTTGGCGATCTCAGGGGGGTCGCGAGGAATTCATTTCTTACTACCGACGATTTTACGGAGATTACCGATGACCATCCGATATCATCCCGAGGCACGAGAAGGAAACATGGCGGACAAATGAGGATGTCTCTTGTCAAGGAAGGGATGTATATTGGAACGAGGGCTGATGCAAGGAATTTAGCAAATGCTAGGTTACCGGGCGATATATTAAGGATCCTGACAGTGGACATCGAATCGCTTCAAATAGAAGAAGACGGAGTTTTAACAAAACATGTTTCTTGTTTAGACGAGCCTGAAGCAGATCTTCTAAGTTTCTTTGACGATTGTTCTGAGTTTATCACCAGTGGGCTAAAGAACAAGCAAAATGTTATTGTGCACTGGTGGGTAAAATATTCAAGGAAGTCTAATCATGAAAATAATTAAGGTTAAAAATTCCTGTCAGGGTTGACCTGAAAATCAGGAAACCTGGAATGTCGGAATGTTAGAACACCGGAATTCTCTAGACAAAAATATAGACAGGTCTCAGGTCACGTATTCAGTGCGAGACTCACACTTAAGCCCTATCCAAATGGGAAATGTTTGGCAATCAAGCATAATCAAACACTGTTTGGTGACCAAGCATTTTCCCATTTGGACACCATGTTTGATTGTGTGGAATCGTGTTTGATCGTGTTTGATAAAATTTGAACGACATCAAACATTTGAGCAAACATTTTAAAACATTTTCTTGTTTGGTCAGCTTTGTCAAACATGTTTTGTGTGTTCTGGGCTCACTCATAGATGTCCTGCAAGCTTTTGGCAGGAGACTATTGTCTGCCTATGGCGTGTTGTTATACCTTCAGTTCACTAATTTTCAATCGTCCTTGCTTACGCTTGTCCTATTACACACAGAGAAACTTATTCCGTCGTCCTTAAAACTGCCTGTGAGACCAACAATTCATGATGACAAATTTTAGGGAGTCTACCATAGAACATCGTCATTTTGCTTGTTAAATCATTGCTGGAGCACAACAGCAGATCTGGGAGACTTGAACTTCTAGTGTATTTACAATACTATAAACATTTTAAGCAAGTCGTGCCATTTTACACGAAAATAGAAGAGTTTGTTGATGCTCCCCCCAACCCCGCCAAAAAAAAACCACCCTTCTCAGGCCAAAATAAACCATTTTAAAAAATACCACAAATTGCATTGTGTCCAAATATAATTGTTATTTGGTTATATCATTTTTGCTGGGGAGGGGAGGGTCAGTATCTAATATTACGTCACTGGTATATCAGTAAATGTATAATTTCTTTTAGTATTTGGTATAACATATAAGTAGTGAGTTAATTTACAAATAACCATTCCATGTGATTTTTCTCCCTGGAATTTCCAGAATTTTCAGTTGAATGGTTTGCATTTTGGAAGTTCAACAATTCTCAGAATTCCTGGTATTTTTTCTTGGACATTACTGTACCATTTGCCCCCATTTCAAAAATTCTGAAATTTTTGGTTGAAATATGGAAAGGGCACTTTCTTTGATACCATTAGTGTGGTGGCTGAACAAAGTGTCAGCATTGATTCATCAATGAAGAAGCTGAACACCATTGTGAGCTGCCTCTACTTACTACTAGCTTTCTTTCTTCTTTTTGATCCATAGCCTGGAAGGTGTGTCCCGCAGTGCAACTGTTGTACTGGCACATGTCATGAGCTCAAACCAAATGTCACTGGATGAGGCAACAGATTTTATAAAGAGTGTTTATCCCAAGGCCAAGTAAGAATTTCTTTTGACCCTAAGAAGAGATTTTGGAGACTGGATTATACATGCTGTCTTGTCAAGCCTTGTTAGGTGGGGTGTATGCTTGTCTCTTGTCTGAATTTCAAACCACATGTCTGCACACAGTCTGCACACAGCTGCAGAATTTCAACACAAGTACATTGTATAATGATCATTCATCCCACAGACTACTGTACTTTTACCAGCCCCCATGTCACTGTTTGAATGCCATGTTGCTTGTGAGAACTATTTGCTACCAGGGCCTCTCTCTTGAAACTTTAAAGATAATTGAAACCATACTTGGTGTATTTCAAGGAATACAACTAACAACATTTGCAGCATACATCACTACCCATTGCTGCGTCACCTGGGTGAAGAGAAGTACTGAGAGATTAACTATAGTGTGTCTTACCCATTGGAACACAACACAAGGAATCCAGGCCAGGACCCCAACTCGGACTGTTCGATCCAGAGTCCAGCGCTAACCATTAGGCCACTGCACCTTCCAAACATAATTCTAACTTGTAAAACTCAGATGCATATATATTTACAAATTTATGCTGGTGACTGATTGCTGATTTTTCTTGTATGTGTTTTTAGTCCCAATGTAGGCTTTCTTGAACAACTTAAACTTTATGAAGCCATGGGAAATACAGTTGATAAAACCAGTCCTGTGTATAAACAGTACAGACTGCAAATGTTGGCCAGTCAGATACAGAGTGGGTGTCCATGATCTTTTGCTCTTCTGTTTAAATATAGGTGTATTCAGTCATTTTTTTGTATTATGCTCTTGCTAATTAATTGGTGCTACATTTATGTCAGGTCAACAGTTTTCCACGAAAGATCTTCTGTCCTCCCTAATTGATGAACTCAAAGGCAATACTGCTTCCAGTCACAAGAAATTTCAATGTAGAAAATGCAGGTACCCAGCTTGAAGTAGAATCTAAATTCAACAGTGTCCATATGAAAAATTGTTAATAAATAGTGAAATTCTTATCCAAAATCTTTACAGACTGAGGTTTTTCTGTAAGCCACATACCAAATGCCAAGCAAGCAGACACATTGGTTGAATGTGTGATACTTCATATCTTTTTTGTTCTCAGTCTAACTCAAATACAATCTCTTTGTGACCACCCTCATGAACGACCAGCTCTAGTAATGTTATAACCATTCTTATCACTGTCTAATCTATATGGCAGAATTTCTTATAATTTGGTATTGACTGAAGACAGGAACTGGTGAATGTCCACTGTATAATTTTGAAGTTGATTCACATGCAGGTTGGTGTTGTTTGGTGGTGATTCATGTATTGAGCATGAACCTGGAAGTGGTCAAATGTCATTCAAGCAACATAAACAGGATTTCAGTGTCATGAAAGATAATAACAGGAGCAGTGCTCAGTGTACATCTATATTTATTGAGCCTGTCAGCTGGATGCTTCCTTTACTTGAAGGAATAATTGAAGGAAAGGTATGTACAGTAAGATCTTTCATATATTCACTGTTATCTTCACTATCTACAGGTATATTTCAAACTCTCAACCAGCTCCCAGTTGGCTTGATAGCTCAATATATGGTACAGCACTGCACCGGTGTTGCAGAGGTCATGGTTTGGAATCCTGTCCAAACCTGTTGAATACATTGCTATTTTACTTTGTGGATTTTACTTAGCAATGACATTAGTTACTACTTATGTAGTTAGTCAGTCAGTCAACATGTCTGCATAAATTGTCTGTCTGTCTGTGTCTGTTTAGTTTGTTTAAAGGTGGCTGACAATAGTTTCCAGCTCTTGGATAAATACTGCCACTCTTTGTTGTATCATTCTGCAATGAAGGTATCACACAAATGCCCAGTTATTGCTAAACAAGATTTTGTTACCCTCTTTATATAACAGGTTACCATAGCAACACAAACCAGTTAAAACACCCTTAAGGTCAGCTCTAAGTATTTATAACTAAAAAAGGAGCTCAGTGACCCTCATTGTTTATTATTGATTTGTGATTAAGATAAATAAGATTTAAGTTTTTTTTCCAAATTTTATAAAGGTTCTGTGGAGGTTTAAGGTGGCCCTGACACCCCTCCACAGATTTTTTTAAACTTTGCACAAAGTTGCTTCTTTTCATGCTTATCACAATTCAATAATAATAATAAAATAATGGGGGTTTACCAAGCTCTGTTTTGAGTTGTAAGCACTCAAAGCTAAAATTAAGGGTGCTTTTAACTGGTTCTACTGTTGCACCATAGAGATTACCAGTATTGGTTCACCGATGGCTGGGCATTTAGTTTAAGTGATACCAATATTGTAGCATCACTTGATAAACAGTGGTAGTATTGATCCGTTAAAGTACAGCTGTTGGAAAAGTGCTGTTGCCAGATAAGTTAGTTATTCAGTTAGTTACTCAGTAGCCAAGTATCTTGGTTAGTTTGTTTATTTTAAGTTTCATTCCAAATCAAGTTTGTGCATGTTCGTTTGTAGGTTTCTTGTCCCAAGTGTAATGGAAGACTGGGATCATTCAACTGGGCAGGTATGCATATTAAGTTATCCATAGCAGCTCATTATTATTGCACGCTGGTTTCAAAAATTCTTGCAAACTATTAAAAAGTTAGCAAAACAGATATGAAATAGTTCTTGGCAGTTGTAGATTTTGTTTTAATTACAATAAAAACTTCAACTTTTCTTCTGTCAGGAATGCAGTGTTCCTGTGGAAAATGGGTGACTCCAGCATTTCAAATTCACAAGAACAGGGTTGATGAATCGTGGAATGTACCACTACCAAATAAAAACCAGCCTGAACCCAGCTGATGCTGTCTACAAGAATAACGGAGCCTGTCGCTTACAGCAGAGATGTTAATAATTTATTAAGAATGTGACATATCTATGCCAATATGAAAACATAAGTAAGAATACTCCCAAAATTGGTGTTATTTTCTGATTAGGTATGACAATTGTTTCCAGCCCTGTGATGTGCTACACAGCCTTGGGTATATGAACACTCTTTACAAAACTGATACAAATTATGGAGGAAATGGTGAAGAAGTTATAACTAACTGTCCCCTTCATGCCACGTGGCACATAGGGTCACAAGAAGATGTTGCAGTAGACATTTATGGCCCTCTGACAACTGATCAACCAAGTTTAAGATTCTTTTTTAAATTTTTATTGCATTTTAGAAAATAATGCCTATACAACCTAGTTTAGATGGTTAATGCAATTCAGAGCTAAGTTTTCATTCAAAAGAACACCAGCTTATGTATCAAATCAGGATCCTTAACTGAGTCTGTAGACACTACCCTTTTCAAGAAAGATACCTGGCAGAAGAATAACATTGAGCCACTGGTGCTGTTTAACTAACGATGTTTTTGTAGGATTGTGCAATCGTGTCATGGCTACAGTATCTAAATACATTTAATGCCTGTTTCTTCTTTGTCAAGCAGTCCCTACTTCAGTGCATTCTCTTTCACTTGAGAAAATACAGCAAGAAAAATACTAAAATATGGTCAGTTTCAAGTGTAACAAGGCAAAAACTCCAGATGGCCTTGCAGGCTAACAATCTGTAACATCGAAATAAACTTAATATTAAAATTATTGGCCAATGCAGAAAATCACAGCTCAGAACATAAATGCCTTCCACTTAGATTTTTGAACAACTCATTGTTAAATTAATTTTCCAGACTCCAAAAAGGCTAATCAGAACAAATAGGAGTATGCAATATTCAGGGTGCTGCATTAACTCCTCCAGCCCTTTTCGATTAAGTGACACTGCTATGAAACCTATTAGCGGGGTCCTATTGTTGCGAACAATATGCTGACATCACATATACAAGTTCACTTTTTTTGTGTAGACCACTAATTACCACGTTTGACAAACATAATTGGTCTTATATACAGTGGAATCTCCACTTCCGGTCGCTGCTACTTTATGCACTGGGATTCCATTTTCTGATTGATTCAAAAAATTCATCAAATTTACTATGGCTAATCAATTATTTTGGCCAATGAGGTTTAAAACCAAAACCATCCATGTGTTTACTTATGTCATGCTTCCTACTTGTGTGCTTTCCTCCAGTTCCATGTTTCTGCCACTAGTTTTGATTGGTTTTGTTTCCTTGTTCTGCCATAGTGATTGGCTCAAGTAATACCTTGGTTTTACTTTCTACAAGAATTAATATAAGTACATCAATCTAACAAGCCAGGGCATCAGAGTCAGTTGTTGCAGGTTGAATTTCTTCATCTGTGCTCCTGCACTCAAAATATGCTCCAAACGATTCACAATGCCTTGGATTGAGAATGTTGATCAATGGCAAGAAGACAACCATCCATAAAGGTCTCTCCTTTTCTTTTGATGATGATGGCATCACCTACAGTGGAAACAGAAATAAAACAACTGTTAACTCTCAAGCTCAAGCTCTTCTCCGGAGTGCTGTTACCAAAAACATTTACTTTATGCTAATATCACAGGTCCGCAATGCATGCAGAGACTCATCAGAGCAGAGAGATGTTACAAGCTACAGATTTAAAACAACACAAATGCCCAAAGTCTTTT